CTTCCAGTTCTAGGAGATAGGATATCTCCATTAATTAATTAATTTATATAATGTATTTATTTATTTATTTATAACCTAGCTTCGTGATGCTCCCCATGGCATGGAGCCCTGGGCAGTTGCCCTACTTGCTACCCCCTAATGCCGGTCCTTTCTTTTATATGCAGAAAAAGAAGTTGTGGCACAGCTGGGCCATGGAGTTTCTGTAGCATGTTGGGGAAGGGGGGTTAGAAAGAAAAAGGTTGAGAACCCCTGTTCTAGGGGAAAGTGCAGAGGTGCTTGTGGGAGAAGAGAACTGTCAAAGCTGGCATTGCTGGTGGAGTGATAGGGACAGCTGGATAGGGTGAGGTTAAAATGTTTGGTCTTAAGGCAAGGACATACAGCTTGTACTTGTTGCAATGAAGGCTGATATTGGGCTACAGAGCCAGCCTTAGTACCATGGGGAATAGGATGATTTTTTTCCCCAGTGGTTATCAAATGTACTTTCCTGTACACACCTGCAGCATCATTGCTTCATAGTGAAGAAGAAAGACCTGTGTAGTGTCCTCAAGACCTACATAGTGGTTGTTTGGCTCATGGTAGAAACGCTGAGACCTCCTTCCTGCAGTGAACACTTTCAGCTGCTGTTCAAAGCATTTTAGAGACTTAGTAAATTCTAATGTTTTGTCCATCCCAGGTATTTTTTTTTTTTTTAGTATCTCCAGGAAATTCAACTTTTATGAAGACTTTTGCTTTGGTTCATGAAGTATAATTTAGATAATTGATTCTGCAGTGTAAAGAGTAAAAGAGTTTGAGAGGCAGAATCATGATCAAAGCTACTTGTACAAAACAAAACCCACAAGTTGTTTGATGCAAATGTATTTCTTCTGCAGTATTACGATGTACTTTCATGGTGCAGTTGAACGCAATTTCTTCCTCAGATTCCTCAGTAAAATCCTGGTTATCATTTAATATTAGGTTGCTTACCAGTGTCTGAGGCTGTCAAAAACGTTTAGCTTTGTCCAGAGATCCATGATAGCAAGTGTACTGAATTAAGTTTTTAGATGCAGTGATGTTGTTGTTGTGTTGGTCCCAGGATATTACAGAGACCACGTGGGTGACAAGTAATATCTTTTATTCGACCAACAGAACTTGGTCCAATAAAACCTTGCCCACCTTGTCTATCTAAATGAGTTTCTGCCAAGCTAAGATTGAACCCTAAAAAGCTACTAATTTATGTTCTGGAAGGTGTAATTTCCTTTATGCAATGGCTTTAAAAAAAGGTGAGGAATAATCTTCAAGAATCTACTGATCTTTTCAGAAGCTTAACTAAAACAGTCGTAAGGCAAACATCTCTTGACCTAAATTATATTAGATCCTCATGTAAAATGTGAAATTAATTTAGAAGTACTATGCTCAAGATCTCGTTGTGCTCTCTTCTGCATATTTTATTTGATGCCCCTAAAAAAACAACAACAAAAACCAACCCACCTCTAAAATTATTCTAATCTTATAGGATTACACGATTTGGCAAATCTAAAAAAAGATTTAGTTTCAGTAAAAGAAACTTGGCCTTTTGATAGCAAAGTGTATTTTGTCTTTAAGGACAATGTATTGTGAAGGAGAAGCATGTGATTTTTGTTTTCTTCCTTTTGTGTATTGATTTAAAAGGAAAAGAGTAGCAATATCTTGGGTGGATTTGGTTTAGGTATTCATTTAAAATATAGCTGTGTGGCATGATGCTGAAGTTTCAAAAGACACAATCAGGTTTATTTTGGTCTGTTTCTTTTGATGCATTTAAATTTGCTTTTCCTGGCACTTAGATTGAGCTGAGGTGAGCTCTTCTCACCTATTTGTTTGTAAGGGAATTGTAGGGGGATCGTATTCATTGTCAACCTGATCCTGTGATGCAGTAAGCTTCTCTTGAGAGATAGTGAGTGCCCTCAACTCTCCATTTGGTAAAATTCTGATTAAAATACGGTATTAAATTCCAATTCAATATTTGGAAATTACAGTCCTTTAACATGTTGGTTAATTAACAAGTTTCTTTAATATAGGAGCCTGACAAGGAACATATGGAGGAAGTAAGTAGCAAGAGGGCAAAGCTTGTCAGCACCTGGTTTTGGGAGTGCATGCTTCTGACACTAAACAGTCTAACGTTTATTAATAAGAAACCTTCCCACTCTGCTACGAATTGTGATTTTTGAAGTGAAAGTACCTTTAATCAAGGGCTGGGTGTTTTTTTTTATGGTTACTTTCTTGCTTAAAGCTTTTGATAGTCAAATTTGCCGTTTCTAATATTAACCAGCACTATTTTCGAGATGTGTATGAAAGCATGCTCGTGCGGTGTGGGCATATACATCTGTAAATGCTCTCATCCTTTCCAGTTAGAATTTTCAAAGAAGTTGGCTAAAGGTATTTTTTATAAATAAACATACACTTCTTTCCATTGCAATGGGGCTTCCAGAAATATTCCATAAGTTCATTGAGTTGTCACCAGATTGGCACCCCTGCTCAGTAGGGCCTGTTCTTGCTTTATCTCTGTGACCTTACATAGGAATGTAGAAATAAGTTAGAGGTGCTTCAACATCCCTTCTCTAGAAGTTATTCTTCCCTGGCTGTATCCTTACAAACTGGGGAAAGGCCTGAGTAGAAACAAAATGCAGTAAAACCTGTTCAACATTAGAGAACCTTGATAAGCTAATATAAGCAAAAAGAGTTAAACTTTTCCAGGTTGAGAGTAAACCCAGCCCTCAAAATAGTAGGGAACCCTACCTTCCCCCAGGCATCTCTTCCTTTTGGGTCTCCATCCCTTTATTATGCAGAGATGTTTGAGGGGAAGAGGAGATGAGAATGACTGCCCCCTCCCACCCCGCCTTCTGTGCTAGGGACTAAGTAGTGCCTGTACAAGCTGATACTATCCTGTCTTCAAATGGAGTTACGTTGATTGATTGTATAACACCACCTAGGGCACTGTTGATACTCTAACTGGAGGGGGGAAACTTCAGACAGGCTCCTCCCCACCTCCTTCAGAAATAAAAGGAATTTTCCTCTAAAATGAAAACATACCCAAGCAGCAGCAATTTCCTGTAAGATGAGAGAGAAACCTGTAAAGGATCTGGGACCCTTATTTGGCAAACGTATTTCTTTAATCATCTCGAAAAAGCTCAGTGCTGTATATTCAGACAAATGGAAAACATTGCAAGTTTTAATCCAGTGAATGGTGGTCATGCATATAATGTTTAGCCGTGATGGAGTGTCTCCTAGATCTCTTCCGTTTTGTAATTCATACCAGGATTTGATTTCAGCAACACCGTTTCAGCCTTCCACACAAATATCCAGAGCAGTAATCCAATAACTAATCTCAAGGAAACCATTAATAAACTCCTTCCGTTGAACGAACTTGGCTTTCTACGTGTCTCCCATTCTCCATTCCAGTAATGCTATATAGAGAGAGCAAAATTCAACTTTGGGTTGTGCTGGCTTTTGGATTTCTTCAGGTTTTCCTCCAGCTTTGGTGAAGACTTTGAAGGAGAGACTGGTCCTGGCAAAAGAATACTTCAGGATTTATAATTTGAGGCACTCTGCATTGTTGGGATGGGAAGGATGGAAAATATAGATGTAATTTTAAAAAGATGTGTCCAAAGACTACCATACTATCCAATGTACTCAGAGAGTATAGCTGTACTCTACCTCCCTGGTGTACAGTTTAATTTGTAGATTACATTTGAGCAGGTGCACATGTTGGGGGATTTACTGGAAGGATCCTCAGATCACACACACAGCTGAAGGTTAACCAATCCTGCATACTCATAATCTCTTAGCTGTTACCCTGGGAACCTACAGTTCCTCATTTAGGTAATTTTTGGCTATTTCCTGGGAGATGCTGGCTAACCTCTACTCTCATATTTTGCTCTCGTTGTCAATTAAAGGACTCTTTTGTGGGTGACGAGAATGCCTTAGCACCTCATAGGATCAGGTTCTTAGTGTTTGTGCTTATTTCTCTGCCACCTCCTCCTCATCACTCCCATTTTCATTTGTTTCCTCTAGCTGTCACATCTTTTCATTAACCTAGTTAGTAAGATCCCTAGGAAAGGGACTATATATGGTCTTTGCAGCTCTCAGGATTTTTTCACAAAGTTGCAGCTTTGAAGGATTTATTTAAAGGATTCTTGTCATTCTAATTCCTGCTTTCAGTCTTGTGAAGTTGTACCCTTAACAAATTGATTGTCTTCACTTAGTTTCAGTGTACTGAAGCCACAGACTGCCCGCAGCAAGATGGCCTCCAGATTCCTTTAACTGGAAGTGACTCTACCAGCCCTCATTGCTTCCAATGGCTGAAGGTAGCCTGCTCAGGGAACATGGTGGCCACCTTAGTTGCCATCTGAGGGATAAGCAGGAGAATGTGGGAGGTGTTGAGAATGGGATGCTGGGAGCAACAGGGAGGGAGAATATGTCAGGAATCAAAGGAATTTGAGTGGCATATACAGGGAAATGTGGCGTGACAGCGAAGGAGAAAAATATGTAGCAGAATAAGAGGGAAATATGGGGAGGCAAATGGATGCAGGTGGTAAGGACAGACGACTTGAGGAAGATGATGGAGAGTGAGGAGGCAGTGACCCTAATCCAGTCCTGTCCAGGTAGGGAGAGGGGTACAATGGCAGCTCCTCACACCTAAAGTGAGAGGCGAGGGTAAGCAGAATCCCTTCCAAGTAGTGAACAGTTAGGTCTACACTACTTGTATCTAAGGTTGAATTTTAGCTCTGTGATGATTACATGCAAATTGGGGGCATGCTGCTTCTCTCTACAAAGGCAAAAAAAAAATCTTATGGCAGTTTTTTAAAAAATATATACTTTGACTTAAAAATAAATAAGGTGTAAAAAAATCTTTTTCTTTTGAGAGAGTGGATTGTCTGACTCATGACTTCTGAAATTATTGCCAGTTCCATGCAATTTATTCATTACGTGTTTGTACAATACCATCACAGTGGGCCCTGATTTGGGCCTCAAGGTGCTACTGTAAATATAGAAAGGAAGAGAAACTTCCGGCAGGACTGGGCTTTTTTCCTCCAATTTCTCCGCCCCCCCCCCCCCCCCCCCCCCCGTCCAAAAGTGTCTTGTGAAAAGAGTAAATGAAATGTAAATGTTTGTCTACTTCCCTTTATCCAATGGGGGTGTAAATATACAGCATGCATATTATATATACAATCATTTTATATAGTACATACATAAGTTATGGTATCCTAATACTCATTGAGCCTGTCTATAGACACACATTGGCAAAAGCAGTTCTTCACTTTTCAGCCCTTACATTTTAGGCTTGCAGAATGGTGCTAGGACAGCCACATAACAGCAGCATATTGTGCATGTATTTTGATAGCATACTATGCCTGTGTAGTTCCACTTAATAGATTTTTATAAGGCATCTGAGCTGTCGTATGCTTTGCACTCAATGCTTTTGTTGTTGTTGTCCATATTTGAATTACTAGTATCCTGGCTATGAACAATTGCTGAGCCATAATAATTTGCTTAACAGAAGTCCTAACATAACTTTTCATAGATTCTGAGGCCAGAAAGAACTACTGTGATCGTCTAGTCTGACCTGCATAATACAGACCATTTTACTTCCCTGAATTAATTTTTTCTTTGAACTAGTGCATATCTTTTAGAAAAAAACATCCAAACTTGATTTTAAAAATTGCCAATGATGGAGAATAAATCATTGCCCTTGGTAAGTTGTTCAGTGATTGTTTATCCTCACTGTTAAAAATGTACACTTTATTTCCGGTCTGAATTTGTCTAACTTCAATTGCCAACCATTGGAACAGGTTATATCTTTTGTGTGCTAGATTGAAAAGCCCATTATCAAATATTTGTTCCCTATGTAGGTACTTAGGGGTGACTTCAATCAGAGTGTAACCTTCAGTTTAAGCTAAATAGATTGAGCTCCTTGAGTCTGTCACAATAAGATATGTTTTCCAACTGTTGAATCGTTCTTGTGGTTCTTCTCTGAACCCTGTCCAATTTATCATCCTCCATCTTGAATTGTGGACTCCAAAACTGCGCACGCTATTCTAGTAGCAGTTGAAACAGTGCCAAATACAAAGGTAATATAATCCCTCTACTTCTGCTTGAGATTCCACTGTTTATATATCCAAGGATCACATTAGCCCTTCTGGTAACAGCATCTCGTTGAAGCTAATTTGCTGCTGATTATCTGCAGTGACCCCCAGGTATTTTTCAGTTACACTGCTTCCCAGGATAGACTCTACATGAATATATGACCTATGTTCTTTTTTCCCTAGGGTATAACTTCATATTTAGCAATATTGAAATGCATATTGTTTGCTTGCGCCCAGTTTACCAAGCCATCCAGATTACTTTGAGTGACGTGTCATATCCATTTTTTTTTTACCACTCCCCAATCTTTGTCATCTCAGACTTTCAGTGTTGATTTTGTGTGTTCTGCCAAGTGTTAGGGTTGCCAACCCTCCAGGATTGTCCGGGAGTCTCCAGGAATGAAAGATTAATCTTGAATTAAAGATTGTCATGTGATCAAATCTCCAGGAATTCGTCCAACCAAAGTTGACAACCCTACAAGTCATTGATAAAAATGTTAAATAGTGTAGGGCCAAGAATAGATCTTTACAGGACCCCACTAGAAAATGCTTCATGATTATCTGTTTACAGTTACATTTTGATCCCTGTCAGTTACCTAGTTTTAGATCCACTTAATGTGGGCCATGGTACATTTTGATTTTTAAGCAAACAAACAAACAAAAAAACCCCTAGAAAAACACAAAATTAACAAGTCAGTTGCCTTACAGGAGTCTTTAATTTACAGGTCTTCAAGCCTTATAGTGTAATATAATACATTTATCTTATTTCTGCTATAAAGACTGGGGACTTTTGCTGGATATGAAAGGTAAAAAATTCAAAAATATGCATGTCTAATTTTCAGAAATATCTTGTGTTTGAAATTTTACCTTAAGTTCTATGTACTATAATTTCTGTTGTTCTGGCAAAAAGATGGTCACTTTACCGTATTTCAAGGCTTTCCTAATTTCTTAGTATTAGGAAGGCCTAGCGCTCTTGTCGTTTCTTGTAAACTTTTATTGCACCCCCAAGGGATTGACAAACTGCTTTCTTCTATGTTTCTTCTTGAACTGTACGGTGTGGGCCACAGTTAATAGATTGTCTCATAGACTGCCATTGGAATGGGAGATAGTCACATGACCTCTCTAGGAACTATGTCAATTACTTAGGCAGAATAGTAACATTAGGAATATATTTTTAATGTATTTTAACGAGATACAGAAGGAACCAGTAACACGGGTCGGCAACCTTTCAGAAGTGGTGCGTCGAGTCTTCATTTATTCACTTTAATTTAAGGTTTCGTGTGCCAGTAATACATTTTAATGTTTTTTAGACGGTCTCTTTCTAAAAGTCTATAATATGTAACTAAACTATTTGTTGTATGTAAAGTAAATAAGGTATTTAAAATGTTTAAGAAGCTTCATTTAAAATTAAATTAAAATGCAGAGCCCCCCAGACCGGTGGCCAGGACCCGGGCAGTGTGCGTGCCACTGAAAATCAGCTTGTGTGCCGCCTTTGGCACACGTGCCATAGGTTGCCTACCCCTGCAGTAACATATCATCCAGCTCTCCACAGACCACCAGCAGATGCAAGACCACAGTTTTGGAATCTCTGCTGTATGCAGTATTACTGGCGAAGACAGACTTACTGAAATCATATCTTTAAATTACTTTTAAGGACAAGAAGTATTGTTCATAAAGTTAAATGAAGTATCAAACTCTTGCAGTCACTAATTTTGGAGATTTTAGATTCAGAAATCTTTCACATGGAACGAACCACAAAGCCATTAACTTTGTCATGCTAGAGTTCTGCTTTACAAATAGGACACTTTTAATATGTCATATTATTTGGAATTCAAAACTAAGGTTAGTGATGTGTGTATATTTTATCCTTTCTTTTGTGATCAATATGTTTTGGATCCTGGGAATATTTTTATAATGCAGATTGTTTATAGGGCACGCTTTATTTGTAATGTAGAAGCTTTTTAACTCCCTCTCTTCCCATCCCTTTCATGTGTGATTGTCTTTGAAATTATGGCCTGGATGTTCTTTTTTTAGTCACAGCAATTTAAATAGTATCACTATATATTTCTATGGCAGCTCACCAAGTCTCATCGACAAGGTCACATGGTGAAAGTAGACTGGCTGGACAGACTGACCTTTAGAGAAATAGAAATGATCAATGAGGTAGGTCATCATATATCAGCTTTATAATGGGTTTTGGGTCTTGATGATATGGAAGCCTTGGCTTGCTTGTAAGACTGTAATTCAGATGACTTGCCCTATTTTTCTTCTCTCTTGTGCACATTAAAGGAAGAAATCAATCTAAAAAGAATGACTTTCTCTGACGTTAGTGATACAGAGGTAGTTGAAAATAGATCTAGATATCAGTTAACTTGGTTATAGGTGCTTAAGACTGTTAGAGCATCATGGGGTGGGGCAGAATTGAAATTGTCAAAACAACTTCCTTCAGTAAACTTCAACCCATATAAACTCTGCATTAAATTTATAATCATTTTCTAATCAACTCACAACCTTTTGTTTAAATTGATGTTGGTTTGGGAGGGAAAATATTGCATCTGGAGACTTTTTTGCTTAAATCAATTGCTTATTCGTTTTTAACCTACGAAGTGAACTGCCTCCAACTCAGGAGGGAAGTGTTAACCCACGAAGCCAAAAATGATCTCCTTAAATGGCCTATGCTCTGAAAGGTGCATAGAATCACCACCTTACTCAACACATCACTCCCTGTGTTGACAGCTGCTTTCTTGGCTATGTCTACACTGTCTACACTATGCAGCTTTTAGTGTCTACACTATGCAGCTTTTAGTGACACGGTTGTGATAAAAGGCGTGCAGTGTAGCTCTCCTGATGATAAAAAATTTCCTCCCACAATGAGCAGGAGAGCGCATCTGCTGTGAAAGTGCTGTTCATACCTGTGCTTGTCATGGACAAAACTTTTGTCTTTCGGGGAGTGTTTTTTTTAAACACCTCTGAAGGACAAAAGTTTTTTGTCTTTTACTTGCCAGTGCAGACAAAGCCTAAGAATTTTTTTTAGCTACTTGGCATTTCAATGAGACCTGCAGAGATAATGATTTGCATTTCTATAGCACCTTCCACTGGGGACTCTAAAGTGCTGTGCAAATTCTAACCTTCAATGAAACATACCTGTTTTTACAGAAGGGAGAACTAGCACAGAAGTGATTTGATCCTCTGTCAAGCAGGCAGTCTGTAGCAGAACCACGGCTGCTACTCTGAAACCTGTAGCAGAACCCTATCTTCTGATTCTCATGACTGTGCTTTAATTACAAGACCAGTCTCCCTTTCCTGGACAGTCCATACCTCCTTGGGTGGGCAGACTAATTCTCTTGTGAGTTGTGCAGAGCTGTTTACTAAGGTTCAGTAGCAGAATTTTTATTCCTGGTGATGATATGCAAATCAGAAACAACACACTCCAAGATCCCAAGTTTTATTTGCAGTTAGCAATTAGAAAACTTGTAAACTGAGCAGACTGCATCTTGAAGCCATTGGTGTGCCAACATAGCACCATATAGTGCAACTTTAACTCTGTTGTTCCATTGGATCACTTAAACCATTTCCTCTTCTTGAATGCAAATGTTTGTTGTGGAGTGTGAATGACAATATATAATGCCAGAGGAAGCTCGTGTCCTAGAGTAAGTAGTTATGTGAAATTATAAACTGAGTAATTGCCACAACATCTGATAATTTGATCCATCAGTTACAGCACAAAGGAAATATGGTTATTACTGTTAAGAAAATGCTGAAGATTGATGCTCTTCTTTAATATACAATCCACATCTTTAGTCTGTTTTCTTTTTAGAGTGAAAAACGAAGTTCTAATTTTATGTACTTGATGATTGAGTTTCGGTGTGTCAAGTGTGATGATAAAGAATATGGAATAGTTTACTATGAAAAGGTATGTGCCTTGTAGGTTTTATGATCTCCTTTAGGAAGAAAAAAGCAAACTTGCAGCAAAAAAAATTACAGGTTTTCCTGCTGAGATGAAATATTTTGTTGCAAGATAGCAGTAGACAGCTGTCAGTGGCAGCTGTTTATGTACATACAAATCAAATAGTATAGCTCCAACAAGATTACAGAAGTCAATCATTCATGTAATGCAGTTCAAGATTACAGAATTTAATACGTGCAAGTGATTAAAAACTTTTTGATTTATTGTTCCCCAAATCAAGTAGTACTTTCAGAGTAGCTTTATGTAAAATTGGTTCTTGGATTGGGATAAAGAGATCTACATGTCTTCATTGGTAGACTTGATACGGGATTGCCTTATCAAAACTTTGCACAAGGGCTGTGCCAATAGACAGTCTCATTTGTCTCATTTCCCCAATATTCTTTGTTATATTTTAAAGACACATTTTGATACTTTTGAATAGGTTTTCATGACAATAACAAATGGATGAAATCTCTGCTTTCCTCAGAGCATCTTGTAGCATCTTGCTTCTAAGGATCTCAGGCCACTTTACAAACATTAACAACTCCCCCAAATAACTTGCAAGGTAAATAAGTATTCTTATCCCCATTTTACAAACGGGAAGATGAAGGTAAGAGGTTAAGTGAATTTTCCAAGACCACATTGCAGGTTGAAAAGCTGGGATGAGAATCTGGCTCTTCAGATTTTCATATGCTTTAGCCACAAAACCATCCAACTCTCCTACCTTGATGTAGTTTTTTCTCGGGTAGGTGTATTTGTTGGAGACTGTCTGATTGCAGTATATTTTTGTTGGCTTATCTAATATAGTCACATCACTTTTAATATCTTGTTCCATGGTCTGTAGAAAATATATGATTGTAAGGTTTATAACAAACATTTGCTCATATAGGCTGGATATTATAATTATGAAGTGTTGTGTTATACAGATGTTGTATCATGATGTCCACTTTTCTGCTGCTCCCTTCGTCTACGATCTTTGAAGTGCTGCTGTTGCATTTGAATGATGCACTTCAGAGTGGAAGGATGGTTATGGAACATGCATGTGTTTTGCCCCCTACATGCACATTTGATTGTAGTGGGAACTGAATTTGTGCTGTCTTAACGTGTTGCGTATATATATTTTTTTGCTATTGGGAGAGAGAGAGCTTGGTTTTGAACCAAACAAGTAGAGGTGGTCAGAAAAATTCCAGTGACACATTTTTTTCATTGAAATTTGCCAGTTTGAAATGAAAATGGCTCCTGGAGATGATTTGATTTCAATGAAGTTCTGATGGCACCTGTCATGGCTCCAATCCCTTTCAAAGAGAATTTAGAAATCTTTGGGTTTTCATTCTGAATTGGACTGAAACCAAATTTTGAACCTGAAATCCTCTATGAAACGGAATTACTTTTCTCTGCATAGCTCTGCAAACAAGCTAGGAAATATTCTTAGAAGCATGAAGAAGGAATATAATCAAGGTATAAAACTGGCTTACTAAGCATCATAAGATAATTAGGTGGGTAACTGCACATCATAAGATAATTAGGTGGGTAACTATTTCTAAAAGTAGAAATAGCCACAATTTGAAGGTCTTGTTAAAAAGCTACTTCACGCAAACAAATTCAGGACCACTTTTCTGGAAACAGCAGAAAACAGTCCATAAATTAGTTGCCTGTCTTCTCAAGTTTGTTATGCTTCCACTTAAAATATAAAGATTACCTATCCAGCATATAGAATCTAATGGAACAAGGGTAGGCTGTCACCTGTCTCTGAGTGATAGTCTAAGTGAAAATTACTTGTCACAGTTGTGTTGATAGATTTGTTTTTTGGTGTTGTGACAGAGAACCAGCCTGTTAAACAGCTGCTGATAGAATCTGAGATTCTGTGACTCAACGCTCAATTACTGTATATAAAATGAAGTGGCAGTGGCCGCTTCCTGTGTTCTCTATCAATTTAATTGTAATGCAGCATTTAAAATGTGAGGAATGCCAGTCTGCAGGTAGCAAGAACACAACTTCCAGTTTCACTTTTAGGCAAACATCACTCACTATGGAAATATCACTGTGTGAATTCCAAAATGCAAATATCTCATCTTATCTCTATGGGTAAATGAACTCCAGCACTTTTCATGAACGTGTATTTTCATATAGGGTTCAAGTGAAAACAGCATTGTATTGGGTAAATAGGGCAATTGCAGAGCCAGATCCATTTAAAGGATTTTCTCAGTAGAATATCTTTCCCAGTGTTTAAAAAAATTAGGTTTTATCAGTCGCTGAAGCCTTGCCTGTGTGTCCATCTATGTTCTGGATACAGATAGTTGTATCCTGCTGGTACAGCTTGGAACCTTGATTTAACTAACCCCATAATATGAGATCAATAGAACCCCCTATTTGTTAGTGTTTTAGAAACTGATAAATGCTGTAATTTCAAAGAGGTGTGGCAGAACCTTGCTTGATCAACACTTTGCTTTACCGTAACACACTATAATCTGCAAAATTGGCAGTGTCTCTCCACCTTTCATCAAAGAATAAATAGCAGAGAGTGATAGTGAGGTCTTACATTTGTAAAAATGGCATTTTTGGAATATAGTGGAGTATGTTTAATATTATGCTATAAAATATTTAATTAAACCAAACTCAAAATGAACTCTGTATTCTTATGAGGTTTGGCTAGTGGTGGATTTATGATTTTGCCGCCCCGAGGCCTTAAATAATTGCCGCCGACGGCCCCATATGAACTTGTTTTAGTTTTTTTACAAATTTGTTTGAACTAAAATGAATCTAAATATCATTAAAATAATTGAACATTTACAAGTTTTATTATAAATAAAATTACAAGTACAGTGGACCCTCGCTTGAACACGCATCTGTATAGCACGATTTCGCGTATAGCGCGGGAATGCGCATGGATCCAAAACTGAGAACCGCTTAATTTCTTCCGCCCAGTCATCATATTAACGTTTAGCATTCTCGCGAGTATGTTTACTAAATGGTGTCGCGCTGTTATCGGTGATTTCAATACGTGCTATGATTGGTAGAATCGCAGCATCACTGATGCCGGGATTACAAAAATGCTGCTATTAATAAATTTGTCGGCCTAGGCGATAATACGCCGCTAGGTTTGGCCTCACATTTGTTTTGAGACCTCCATGGCAAATTAGCAGGTAAACAATTGTTGTCATGAATTATTGAGGTTACACAGTCAGGGACAATATAATAGATATTGATGTTCTTTGAGTGAAAGAGGGGTCAGAGTTGCACATTCCCTATCCATTTGAAAGGTGGGTAAAACTGCCAACATCCTTATTCTGTTGACTGATGTTGTTCTGTCTGTCTCCAGGGTATTTCATAGAATAGCTATATTTCAGAATAGGCTATCTTTAATGAGAGAATTTGGCCCATGAGAGCAATGCTAGAACTCAACCAACTTGCAAATTCTTGTTACAGTTTAAGGGTTTTTTTGTGCTAAAACATAATGAAATTGTAAAGACAGAGTGTCCTTCATTTGAGCTGAATAACTAAAGTAAGCAAAAATAGGTCATTCTGGTTTCAACTTTTATGTGCAATCTAGAAAAATTGGTGGGCTGACCTGTTAAGTAAAGTTTTTGCTTTTATTTTTTTAGTTTGACTTTTCACTGTAACAGAACAGCATGGTGATAGAAACACTTCACCTTTTTGTTTTTAACTAAAATATTCAAAGATGAAAAAATACAGATGAAATCTTAGAAAAAAGTGAATTCTTGGCTTTCAAATCACTAGTTGAGCACTAGGGCTTAGAACAGTTTACTGTCAATTCTTAGTATTTTAGGTCTTTATAAGCTTTCCACTGTTATAAATCATGAAGAAGTTGGCTGTTTCTTTTTTCCAGTGGTATAAGATATATATTTTTTTTGAGCCTGGGGATGCAAGAGATGTCAGACCTTAATGATTGTATTGCCTTTTTCTCACCTAAATTTATGATTTGTGGTTGTAGATGAAGGGGAGATTTTTCAAAGGTACAAAGGGGAGTTAGGCTCCCAACTTCCACTCGATCAGTGGAGTTGGGGCACCTCTCCACCCTTGGGGCCTTTGAAAATCTCCCATTAATGTTTTCTACTATTTAAAAGATAGAATTCGAGGCTTTCAGGTGAGATCAAATATTGATTTCTAGTTCTGGCATTCTCCAGAACAAGGCTGATTAAAGTCACAATGTAATTAGCGGATAAAAAGCAAGACAGCAGTCAGAATGTTTTGTTGGTAAGAAGCAATACTTTGTGATCTGGCAGGGGTACAAAAGAATGGTTTACATCACTGGAGAAAATGGTGCCCAATTAACCAATCCAAAAAATCATCCATTTCTAAATTAGCTCAGTGAAGTACTAGCTCTGTCAAGGTTCCTTCCCCACTCTGAACTTTAGGGTACAGATGTGGGGGCCTGCATGAAACTTCTAAGCTTAACTACCAGCTTGGATCTGGTTCGCCGCCACCACTCCCAAAGTGCTAATTCCCTCCCTGGGTAGCCTTGAGAGACTCTTCACCAATTCCCTGGTTAATACAGATCCAAACCCCTTGGATCTTAAAACAAGGAGAAATTAACCATCTCCCTCCTCTCTCCCACCAACTCTTGGTGGGTCAAGATCCAACTCCCTTGGATCTAAAAACAAGGAAAAATCAATCAGGTTCTTAAAAAGAAGGCTTTTAATTAAAGAAAAGGTAAACATCATCTCTGTAAAATCAGGAGGGAAAATAACTTTACAGGGTAATCAAACTTAAAGAGCCCAGAGGACCTCCCTCTAGCCTTAGATTCAAAGGTACAGCAAACAGAGATAAACACTCTAGCAAAAAGGTACATTTACAAGTTGAGAAAACAAAGATAAAAACTAACACGCCTTGCCTGGCTGTTTACTTACAAGTTTGAAATATGAGAGACTTGTTCAGAAAGATTTGGAGAGCCTGGATTGATGTCTGGTCCCTCTCAGTCCCAAGAGCGAACAACCCCCAACACAAAG